ATCTAGATTTGTCTCATTTTATAGGTGAGAAAACTGAGGCCCAGTAATTTGCCCAAAGTCACTCAATGAATTTGTGGCTGAGCAGGGACTGGATTTGTTGCCCTACCAATTCTGTCATGATATAATTCCTGAGAAGAATATCATCTTGGATACACAAAAAATGCATGTGTATGTATTAATATGTATGTACATATATATGCATGTTATAATTCCAGAACATTTTCATCACCCCCAAAACAATTCCTATACCCATTAAACAGTCACCCCATGTATATTAATATATACAAGACATACATGTGTTTACTGAGTTTTGATAAATGCATAGAAATATGTAAACCAAACCTCTAATAAGATACAGAATATTACTGTCACTCTAGAAAGTTCCTTCAGGTCCCTTCCCAGTTTGTCCTTCCATCCTCTATCCTGAGGCAAACCACTGTTCTCATTTTTTCCAAGATTTCATATAAATGGAATCACACAATATGGGCTCTTTTGTGTAAGACTTCTTTTATTCAATATAATGTTTTTGAGCTTTCTCCATGTTGTTGCATGTATCAGTACTTCTAAAAAAATATCTGAGTGGTATTTTACTATTTGAATATAACATAGTTTTTATATTTCCTTACTGATTGATACCTAGGCTATTTCCAGTTTTGAGCTATTATTAATAAAGGTGTGGTAAACATTTCTGTAAAAGTCTTTTTGTGAACATCCATTTTCTTTTTTTTCTAAACATTTTAATTACCTTTATTGAGGTATAATTGACTTACAATAAATTTTACATACTGAAAATGTATAATTTGATAATTTTTGACATATTTGTACATCCACAAAATTATCACCACAATCCTGATAATGAACATATTCCTCATCCTCAAAATTTGCCTTTTTTTTTTTTTTAACCCCAGGTACAAGGTAACTGCTGTTCTGCTTTCTATCACTAGATTAGCTGGTGTTTTCTACAATTGTATGTAAAAGGAATCAGTCATATATTATGTGCTCTTTTTTAATCTGGTTTAAATAATGCAGCATAATTATTTTGAGATTCATCCATGTTGTTACATTTATTAATAGTTCATTCCTTTTACTGTTGAGTGGATTACATTATATGGATGTGCCGCAAGTTGTTTATCCATTCACCTAACAGACATTTGGATTGTTTCCAGTTTGAGTTATTACAAATGAAGCTGCTATGAACATTTGTATGTAAGACTTTGTATGTTTTCTTATTATTGATGTATACCTAGGTGTGGAAAGACTGGATCATGTGGTGGATGTATGTTTAGCTTTTTTCTAATTGAGGCAAAATTCACAGAACATAACATTTACCATTTTAACCATTTCGAAAGTCTGGTGGCTTTTAGTATATTCGTAATGTTATATATCCATCATCACTATGTAATTCCAGAATATTTTTATGACTCCCAAGAGAACTCCCTTACCCATTAAACAGTCACTCCTCATTCTCCTCTTTTCTACCCCTTTCCAACCACTAATCTACTTTCTGTCTCTGCTTTGCCTATTCTGGGTGTTTCTGTAAATGAACTTATACAGTATGTGGCCTTCTGTGTCTGGCTTCTTCCACTTAGCATAATGTTATCAGTAGTTCATTGCTTTTTATGTCTGAATAATACACCATTGTATGGGCATATCACATTTTGTGTATCCATTCATCAGTGATGAATATTTGGGTAGTTCGCACTTTTTGGCTGTTACGAATAACGATACCGTGAACATTTGTGTACAGGTTTTGTTATGGACGTATTTTCTGTGCTCTTGTATATATGCCTAGAAGTGGCATTGCTGGGTCATATCGTAATACTTCTGTTTAACTTTTTAGGAAATTATCAAACATTTTGAGAGTGATTGTACCATTTTACGTTGCCACCAGCAGTGTATGGGAGATCCAGTTATTCCTCATCCCTTTTATCACTTAGTATGGCCAATCTTTAATTTGGCAATTCTAGGAGAATCTCAATTGTGTTTTTAATTTGCTTTTCTCTAATGACTACTTATGTTGAGCACCTTTTCGTATGCTTTTTGGCCATCTGTATACCTTCTTTGAGGAAATATCTATTCAAATCTTTTGCCTGTTCTTTGTTTTTTTCCTTACTGAGTTTTTATAGACATTTCTGTATTCTGAATACAAATTCTTTATTTGATATTTGCTTTGCAAACATTTTCTCCTAGTTTATGACTTTTCATTCTCTTCATAGTTCTTTTGAAGAGCAGCTGTTTTCCATTTTGATAAAGTCCATTTTGTCAATTTGTTCTTTTATGGATTTTGCTTTTGATATTTAATCTAAGAAATCTTTGCATCATGAAGATTTTCTTTTATGTTTTCTCTTAAAAGTTTCATAGTTTTAAGTTTTACATTTAGTTTTATTATCCATTTTTAGTAAATTTTATATATTGTATGAGGTATCATTTACAGTTTATTTTTATATTTTTCACATACGAATATCTGCTTGTTCTAGCTCCATTTGATGAAGACTGTCCTTTTACATTAAATTGCCTTTGTACCTTTGTCAAAAATAAATTGACTGCACACATGTGAGTCTATTGCTACACTCTCAGTTCTCTGTTCTGTGGATCTATTTGTCTGTCTTGATTGGTGTCTTCATTACTATAGCTTTATAAGAAGCCTTCAGATCAGATAGTGCAATTGCTCCAGTTTTGTTCTTTCAAAGCTGTTTTGGCTATTCTAGGTCCTTTGTGTTTCCATAAGTATTTCGGTATCACCATTTCAACTAAAATGCCTACTGGGATTTTGATTGGATTTACCTTGAATCTAAATATCTGAAGAGTTAGCTGTTTTGATAATTATTGTCTCTGTTTTATGCCAAAGAAAATGGGGCACACTAAAGTAACTTGCCTAAGATCATTTACCTTGTAAGAAGTAGAACTAAGATTCAAACCTGGACAGTTGGATATCACAGTTTATTTTTTTTTATTTTTTATTTTTTTGAGACAGAGTCTCACTCTGTTGCCCTGGCTAGAGTGAGTGCCGTGGCGTCAGCCTAGCTCACAGCAGCCTCAAACTCCTGGGCTCAAGCAATCCTTCTGCCTCAGCCTCCCGAGTAGCTGGGACTACAGGCATGTGCCACCATGCCTGGCTAATTTTTTCTATATATATATATTTTTAGTTGTCCAGATCATTTCTTTCTATTTTTTAGTAGAGACAGGGTCTTGCTCTTGCTCAGGCTGGTCTCGAACTCCTGACCTTGAGTGATCCACCCGCCTCGGCCTCCCAGAATGCTAGGATTACAGGCGTGAGCCACCGCGCCCAGCCGATATCAGAGTTTATTATTTATACTGTTTCCTATTTCCTATGTTAATTAAAATACCATATTAATTTCATGAGGGTAAAGACATTTGTTTTGCTGCTAATCGACTCCTAGTGAAAACACAATGCCTAGCACACAGTAGACACTCAAATATTTGTTGGATGAATAGACTATTATAAAGTTTTTTCATACAGAAAATTAAGTTTCATTTTATTTGACTTGATCTAGGTCTTTGTTTGGTAGAATGGACAACAGACTCTAAATATTTCGCCCTAGATCTAGCCTTTCTTACAAGTATTGTCTTAATTAGGATTCTGTCTGCCCAGAATAGAAGTTAACTCAAGCTAGCTTAAGTGAATATTGAATTTTTTATTAGGAGTAAAGTCATGGAACCCACTAAAAAGTTAGCCAGCCCTTAAGGAAGAGACTGGAAATGGGTATGGAAAATACAATAGGGTTTTCCTTTTGTCTGTATTCTCCATGTGTCTTCCTCTTTTTTATCTCTGAAGAGATAAGTGTTCTTTGCTTTTCTAGTCGCAAATTAGAAGATGGCTGCTCTGTAACTCCTTTTTTTCCTTTCTTTTTTTTTTTTTTAACATGTTGCAGA